AGATAGATGATAGATAGATGATAGATAGATGATAGATAGATAGATAGATAGATAGATAGATAGATAGATAGATAGATAGATAGATGATAGATAGATGATAGATAGATGATAAATATATACAAGTTGGGCAAAAGTAGGTTTACAGTTGTTTTTATGGAAAAAGACATGCAGGTTATGATTATTGTAATAGCTTTATTAACTCAAAAGAATGTAACTCATAACTGTAGACCTACATATGACCACCGTGGGGTGTGTGTGTGTGTGTGTGTGTGTGTGTGTGTGTGTGTGTGTGTGTATTTTCTCTTAAAAATTTTTAGTCTATTGTATGGTGAAAGAGTACTCTGTTATCATATACTAGATTCTAAAGTTCCTCACGGAAACATTTTTCTAGAATCTTTCATATGTGGACGGATCCTCCTTTTAAAAATTGTTCATATTAAGTTTCTAAACCATGTCAAGGAATGACGGTGTGATGTGCAAATCTTTATAATGCAGCAGAATGCTGTGGAATCAAAAAGCCTTTACCCACGGTAGCTCCAAGTCACTTGAAAAGCAGGGTGGCCCGGCCGCAGGTGGCTCAGCGGTTGAGCGTCGACCTAGGATCCAGACGTGTGGAATTACTTGTTTAAAAATACATAATCATTGCTACTGGATCCTACTGGAATCCATTCGACCCTCATCGTATCCGTTTTTCATCGGTGGTAGAATGAGACAGACTTGGATTGGAATTCCAGTTCTACCAAATGCTGGGTAAACTTCCAGAAGTCCCTTCCCTTCTTCCATAAAGGTGGCAATGGTACCTTTTTTGTTGGGTTGTTGCAAAATTTGAAGATTGTACATGTAAGGAGCTAAGCACAGTGATGCGCACATAATATACATTCAATAAATTTCAGTTCATAATAAGGATGCCACAAGCGCCAGCGTGCCCATACAGATAAATTAGCTCAGATTTCACAAGGTCTATGGTACTCCTCTCAGGAAAGTGCTACATAAATGTAGCATATAATATCATTACACATAGATCATCAAAGGCACTGCCTCTTACTGGAAACAAAGAAATAATTAGCTATAGATGCTTTAAAATGAGATTTTTCTGGAATAGTAAAAATATCGAGAGATTAACAGAATAATGCATGTCCCAGGATTTAGGAGATAGCTGACGTATTTTCCAAGCAAATGTTTGGAAAAGTTCAGAAAAACCCCATCATGGGTGATCCAGGGAGCAGTCACAGAAGGGCGCAGAAAGGGAATTGGTCATGTAATTTCATCCCGTCCGGCAGCTAGATAAGCAGCATGCAGTTCTGCATTTGAATGCGTTTGGTTATCCCATTTACAATGGGCTGCTAATCCTATAAATATTTATCGCTGAACGAAAGAAAGCAGCTAAGCCCTTACCCTTTGAGAAAGGTCTGTAACCCACAGGGTGCCAGTGAAGTATGAAATCCTGGTGATTTGCTTGCTTCTTGCTACGTTAAAGGCTAGACTGTGCCGGGCACATGTGAACAGTGAATGCGGCGCAGTCGGAGACACGCTCCCGGAGGGCAGCTGGGAGCTCAGGCTCCAGGGGCGTCTCGGGCCCACAGCTGCTCCCTCCCGGGCCTGACGCGCACAGTGGAGCCCGCGGCTTAGCAGATTTAACCTTGAATTGCTGGAAACAAGGATCGATGCCTTCTGAATAGACCAAACGTGGGAACAAAGGGGGAAAGAATTGGGGGCAGGTGGCGAGGGGCTTTCCTGAGAGGATTCTGTC